AGGGAATACGATCTGTTTAATCAGAGAGCCAGGAACAAACTAGTGTGCTTAGACAAAATACATCTTTTTTTACTGCTACTTTCTTCTCCTACAGAATAAAACCAAAGTGGTATTGCTGTCTATTTCTAGGCTACCTACCTTCTACCTTCTCACTAATATTCTTACTGTTAACTTATTTCATTAGAGGCATGAATCTTCTAATTCAATTTGCATGATGATAACATCAGTTTATAGGAGTTCACTAGTCCCATTTTTCAGGCCAGGTCAAACCCCGGCTTCCCCCTAGCCTCAAAACTTTAAATTTTGTCTTATTGTCTTATGGTGCTATTCTCTAAGAGGATTTTTCAAACCTTTTCATAAGCCAAGTTATTTTAATAGAAGCCTGTCTTTTTCCAATAAAGACTTGGAATATCTGTGTAGCAACTACAACACTTCTTTATGTGAAGAAAGCAAGCTATGAGGATTCCTTATCTTCTTTTAATGTGACTTTGTAAATAATCAAATGCCAGTTCTTCACACATGTGGGTGTTAGTGATGGCTCATAATATGTGACTCTTGTGTGTACCTACTACTAGAAAATATTGTGATAACACTAGGGTGCTTTATGGGTGAAGGATTAAGGAGTCAGGAGCTATATTAGGAGTTTTTTCTTTCTTCATCCACTTTTCCAGTTGACCTGCTCGTGCTGAGAGCTAACCTGTCCATGGAGGGATTTGCCTCCAGGTGAAAACTGTAGCGCAAAGTATTCTGGGATTCCCTGTCCCAGTTTCCTGGCATAAGTGGCCTTCTGTGCCAATCCAGCCCTTTCCTCTTGTGCGTACGTTACTTTTTGAGGGAAATCTGTACGTGAGGAAGAAAAACAGAAAACTTCCTCTTAAGGTGAACCCTATGGTGGAACAAGCACAAGTGACTCAGTAGAAAAACAAGAGATTATAAAGCAAACTCAACATTGATCTTATGAGCACTGTAGTGCAGCAACTGAGATAGGAAAAGAGGTAACTGTTAAGTGATAGTGATGTATGAACTGAGAGATAGACGGTGTGAAAGCCTGCAATTTCATTATCTCCTTACTCCTATTTTCACATGCAGGGATTTTTATATTTAAAAGAATAATGTACAGCAATATGACTTCTAGTTTTGTATAAGAGCAGAGGAATTTACACATTCATTTTTTCCTAGCAGAAATATCTTTGAAATTAGTATCTCTTGAAAGACATTGAAGAATTTATCCCATAAATGGGGACAAATAATAAATATAAACTAGGTTACTCTGAAAAAATTCTGAAAGTTCACAAAAATGTATTTTTATTTTATATCCACTTTTCTCTTTATTTATATTTGTATCTTCTGTTTTTCGTAGTTATTTCAATCACTCTCAATAAATCCTTTGAGTATATGTAAGCACCAAATTCATTTCAGCATCCCACGCGTAGTCTGTGATGTTTTGAAGGAAAGAAATTAATCACTGTACGTTTTAAACTGCTTAGGAGCCTTCTTTTTTTCATTGCCTAAAGTAATAGTCTCCAAAAATACTTCCAAAGGGTAGATCTGTAGTTCCTTTGAAGTCAATGGCAGTTTACTCCAATTGAGGATCCGTGCCAAGAGTACATTTTAAACATACCTGGTCCATTTGCATCCACTTTAAAATTCATCTGTACTGCTCTGGCAGGAGCAGTTTGTGAATGAGAATTGAGTCTGCTGTTAGGCATATAATATGCTCTATGTAATGATTGGTTTAGGCTAAATGAAGATCATGCCTCAAGCAAACTTTCCCCCAAGCTCTTGGTTGTATTGGTTCTAGCCTGTGGTTGCAGAATGGGTAAGATAGTTTCCAGTTGGATCTATGAACCAATCTAGGGTGTGTGGGTGGTTGTGGTGGTTTTTTTTCTATGTTGTTGGATGTTTTGGGTTTGGGTTTTTTTCCTCAAAATTAGGTTTCAGATGGATCAGCAAGCTCCTGCAGATTTGATAATTGTTAGGTGCAGCCCAAGGATGGAGCTAGCAGGAACCTTTCAGTAACAGAATGTGATCACAGTTTGGCTTAAGCAAGTCCTGAAAGATAACTGTTTCAGAATTGAAATTGTATTAGTTTAGCACTCTTAACAAAAAATAAGCAGTCCACTCAAATTGCATGTTTTATCTGTCTAGGTTTAAAAACAACTGGAATAATTCTGCAAGCGAAATATATCCCACTGTTGCTTGCAGTATAAGGTAATAATTCAGAATTATAGTGGTGATGATACATAGGCAGATATCCTAT